AAACTAGCATAAATGGTTACCCCATGCAGGCGTCCTCGCAAACAGCATCCCTCCATCCTGGAAGGCATCAGGACCTCTTTAGAGCAGCCGCAGTGCAGTCGGTGCATCACACTCCAAGTGCTTCTACAGAGTCTGGAAGTGATGCTGTCCTCCATTGGGTCGCTCTTCATATATATACCGGTCCACGTTACCCGCAACCCCCGAGTCCACTTACCTGCTGTTGATAGTTGAAGCCTATACTGACACCTCAGTGGAAAAAAACGGCTCTATATTTTTAAATTATGCCAGTGGTGTTAGTCTGGCGGCTCTGGTTACATCTATTCAAACCAAATAGCCAGAGTGAAATCTATCCCAAGGGCTCTTTGTTGACCAGTCAGACCTGGTTGAGTCGTCCCCTCACCCGTCCACTCTTCATTCACCTGATTCAATTCTGGAAAAGTCGAAACACGAGCCGCAGATCACCTGTATGAGGGAAGCTGAGTGAAGCTTTTGAATTTTTAAAATAGTAATTTCTTTGCAGCTACCTGTCGGTCCATATGACGTTTAGAGCCCTCCCCACCTGCCAGGACGGGTATCGGGTGTAACCGGGCCAATCTTCTGGCACGACTGACGCCCCTCATCGAATGATACATGATACGGGCCCGAGGAACAAAGAGTGTGGTGGAATAGTTTACAGATGATCAGCGGAGCATTTGATGTATTGACAAACACCCATTCACTGCATGAACTTCGTCTGTTATATATGAATTATTATACACTTATAAGTATGCTAAGCTTAGGACTATCAACATAATGCTCAGACAATGTGTCACCAACAAGTCACTGTTTGTGGATGAAGTTTTAGGATAAGAGTTTGTATATGGAATTATTAATATAGACTAGAATATGTTTTAGTTGGAAAGCTAATTATTTGCATTAGTTCGTAGTGCATTTTAAGTTAAGTATTACAGTTTAAATAAAGAAACGTGTTAAATTTCGGCAATTAGTTCAAGTCTTTATTGTGGAAGATTGGAAATAAAATTCATTTGAGTAAATGTATTTATTGATTTATTAATAAATTATTATCATGTAAATAATATAATATAATATAACATATAATAATAGAAATATTTAACATGATCTATTTTAAAGGAATTCATATATTTCAATTTATGATATTAAAAATATTAGAATATAAAGACTAAATATTTTTTATTATTTTTTATTCATATACGTTTTTTTTATAAATGCTCAAATTAAAAACGTTTATTGCTAAATGCAGGTGTTAACTACAATAAACTAAGATATATTTAATTCACATAGAGAGATATGGTATTATTTATTTACAGTAAATAATGCACTATACAGATTCTTTAATAATTCTTAAATAATCACAAATAATTAATCTTGATGAGAAAGAAAAACGTTAATTCAATATATTACATACATTATAAATATTATAATCATGTCATTGTTTTGAGCATATTCACACTTAAAATACAAAAAGAGAGAAAAGACCACCTGAAGACAATAATAACAATTTTTTGGGGGAGCCAAAAGATTGTTTTAGGGAGCATTTCTGTCACTCATAATTTAGTCACTTATTTGTAAATAAATAAATGCATGCATTGCAGTTTTATTTCTGAAGGATATTTCACAGCATCACTTAAAAGCTTTCAAACAAGCTGCAAAGACAGGAAGAAGAATGTTCATTGCAGACTGTCAAAAAGCTCATTTTTATCATACTAGTGGGAATTAAAATATATCGAGACGCTGTTAATAGACTGCATGGGGATGTAGTATAATTCATATTGATCTGATATTGTTTGTTTCCGCTCTAAATGGCAAGAAACATTTCAGAAAAAAACACTGCTCATGCAATTCTATAATAATTGGACTAATAAAATAATGCAGTTATTTAGCATATTACAAAATACCTGGATGCAATGATATTAAACTAATTTGACCCTTTGCACGCATGGGGTTTATGTCGTTCTGCATGTCATCACCTTACCATCGGCAACACTTGACTAAGTTGGCATTAATCAGTCGCCTTGGAAACAGTGAGTCAGAGCATCTGCCATTTGTGTCTTTGTCTGAGGTTGTTTTTAATCAGACGGTCATCCATTAATAACGGAGTTGGGCTGGTTTAGTAACCGAGTCCTCGACATGAGAGACGCTCAGCCGGTCAAGATCCAGCGGCTCACATGTCAGCATCAAGATGCCGTTTCACACAAGACACACTGTAACATGTAGGCAGTAGTTTAGCTTGTGATCTTAGTTGTTTCTTACGCTTATTTTGTTAGGCCTATATTTTATATCGTACAATAACGCGGGCATATAAGCCTTGTTGTCATATGATGCTTTGGTAGGAAATATGATATGATGATGATGATTCTTGGGTGTCCTCGCAACTCATTTACTAATGAGAGTTCAAAAGTGCAGAGGGTGGGTGATTATTATTGTGATGGATATCAGCTGGACAAAGCTGGAGTCCTGATCAAGCAAGCACTATTTGTCCTTCATTCTGCATCACTTTCAACCCCATTTGTCTAGCCTATATAGTTCCATAATTGCGTTTCCTGCGTAGGCCATCTATCATTTCTTGAGATAACAAATCCCAACACATTACCTCTAAGCTATGTAGTCCAAATTTGTTTTAAGTGAAAATAAATGGAGACATTAACGAATATAAAAGAGGAGTATCACGCTTCTCCCGAGAGTTCGGTGAGCCGCTGGGACTGGTCACGTGACCGCAAACTCCGCTTCCAGCCAATCACTGCGGCCGTCTCGGGCTGGGCATCTGGTCATGTAGGCCTGTAGCCTTCTTGAGCATCGCACTGCAGATAAAGGCCTCTAACGTTAAATATTTCATTGAGGAGCTCGTGTTTCTCCAGCACTGGAGGTCAGGGCTTTGGAAAGAAGCAGTAGACGCACTGTCCCGTTGCTCGACGTCTCCTTCTCCTTGACTGTTCACGGGCAGATTCTGACTCAGTGAAATGTTAATGGGGGAAAGACTGGTAGAAGAGTTATAATTGAGTATAACGGGTGTGTTAAAAGCACAGAGAAATAGAAGAGGGAAGGAAAATGTAGGAGGGTGAAGGAGAGTAATAGCCTACAGTTTGTATTCCCTTTTAATTCCATCTCTTTCTAAAGCTTGAAAGAACAAGAGGGGACAGATTGCTCCGTGACAGGGACATTTTGCCTGAAAGATTAATTTGCCTTATATTACCAAATTGTTTCTATCTTGTAAAACGACAGTGACATCTAATGGTACTACAGTTGGATTAGGATTCTACTTTGTGTAGCCTAGGGCACAACCTGGTGGTCAATGTTGAATTCTGCAAATAAAATTGGAAATTTTATAATAATATAATATAATATCTAATACATTATGATGTAATTCATAAGCCCACTCTATACATTTACATGGCATGAATTATTTCTGCTGTGTCTTTATGCTATAATCTATCAAGTCTATATTTGGGATCAAATGAAGATGCTTTTTGCTCGCACTTGCAACAATTTTAAAATGTTTGGCCACTTCGATAACATGACTGTCATCTAGTGGTGGTACAGAGTAATAACATCATGCAAATAAGTGATAAGGCTGTGGGAATGTTTGTATTAAACAAGTAGCCCTTGAGGCTGTACAATTCGCCCACTTATCGAATTTGAATTGTGGCTGGCATTCAGAATATTTTTGAATATTTGTCATCTATATTCAAATATATCGTAATATCATTTGAGCTTGGTCATTCGTGCAGTATCATTTGAGCTTTATAATATATTTTTTAATGTGTTGTAATTTAAGTATATTTATGAAAGAATATAGCATAATATAGTGGAAATATGCTCGTCAAACACCATGGCTATATTCAAATTCGTTATATTTTGTTTGAAAAAGATTAGAGGATCATGCTCATTATGAATTAGTATTATGAAACGTCAAGTGTAATAGACCAATCAGTAACCCAAAACATAATAGAATTCATCAAAACTGATTTTTAATACTGAATTGATTTTTTTTCCCTTCACTAAAAATGACTTCCTGGAAGATTGCGTCATGTGGAACTGTGTTTGATCATTAAAAGTGGCATTACAAGGTTTCTACCAGAGTAGAAAATTAAATTGAAGACAGTAAAATATTCACACTAATGACCAATTACAACAAAATAAAAATAATTATTGAACTTTATTGCGTTTTATTATTTATTAACAAACCAATTGAGTTTCATGCTAGAAGTCAGCATATGAACATGACAGAGCAACATACATACACTTGTTTAATATCCACCCCAAGTTCATTTAATTGTGATATTGTCATAAACCTAGTTTACTTATTTATAAATTGAGAGTTTAACATTTTACCAAATGTATTAAGATTTAGGCCTATACCATGGGGACACTAAAATATTTTAAATACAAATATAGCAACCACACAAGGACATGGACATGACAAATAGGACAACATTCATTCAAATTATTCATTTAATTGTGATACTGTCATAAAATGATAATGTCCTTAACATTTTACCAAATATACTGTATTAAGATATAGAGTGAATTCAGGTAAAGTGGGGCACATTTTGTTAAACCTGTAAGTTAGATACCCAGATGTTTTGCTCTTCAAAATATCTTCTTTTATGTTCAACAGAAGACAGAAACTCATACTGGTTTGCAACAATTTGAGCACGAGTAAATGACAGAATTTTCATTTCGGTCTGTTTGAACTATTCTTTTAAGGTCCAGCTGTACTTTTTACATTTGAATTCAATTCATATAATTTGTTATTTGGAAAGTATATACCAATAAATATTTTGAGATCATGCACTCCAGACTAATGTTTTTTCAGGTCCAGCTGGTCCGGTAAAGTGGGTCATTTCTCAATTCATCAAAAAAAAGAAAAAAGATCCTGTATCTAGAAAATTCTAGAAACACAATTATTTATTTAGGCACTAAAATGTTCCGAATAAAAAGAATGACCAACTTTTCAGAGAAAACAAAGATGCAAAGCGGTTTGTACACATTTAATATTTTATTAAAAAAAGAAGTTATTACAGTTTACTGTACACAGCTATTTAAGAGATTATAATCCTATAGATAAAGAGCATTTGTCCCTTGTGACAGGCATGCCCACTTCACAATGCAAAAGAAACAAAAAATAATGGCAAAAATAAAAAGAGTAAGATTAATGGATAAGGAAATAAAAGGGGCAAATTACCATAATACCTGGGATAAAATAAAATCCTTAAAGAAAAAAAAAAAAAAAAAGTGTTTTTTTTTTTTTTTTTTTTTTTAAATCAGCGTATCACACACTAGGTACTAGATACAGATATTATATATAAAAAAAAAATCCATGCTGTGTGCCCACATAAGCCCCATGTCTGAGCACCCTATTGAAGCACAGGTATAAGGGACTAAAGGAGTGGACAGCAAGGACTGAACTAGACTGGACTCTACACCGGATGCATGCAAAGTGCACTGGAGAGTTCATCAACACAAATGCAAGAGACGCGATGCCATTGGCTGAGAGGGCCAGCAGGAGGAGCCTCTGTGGCCACAGCAGCAGCCGGAAGACAGATCTCTTCCTCCTCTCTCTCTGGCAAACATACAGCTGGAGACCACAACATTAATAACTGCTGTCCCCTGGATGTGTGTGTGTGTGTGTGTGTGTGTGTGTGTAAGCACTGGGGGCTTATGGGTGCAAAACACAAAGGACACACTTATTTATTCCACCCCACCCACTAAATATGTAAAAAAAAAAAAATTTTTTAAATTCTCCCTTCAATCCCAAACACCTTTTGTATCATGTATTACCTGCTCCAGATGGACATCTCTGTTATTGACATGGGGAAAAAGAAATAGGAAACCAAAAATTAGTAAATAAATTCTCACAAAAAAAGTATAATATCTAATTGGAATGGAAGCACACTTATACATGTTTATTTGAGATTCTCAGACTCTTTAGTCATTTTACTCTTTGACATGAAATAAAAACAAAAGGAAAAATATATAGTTCAAACTAAATGTCCATATTTTGTCTCTCTTATTAAAGTCCAGGGCTCAAAATTGAAGCAGAAATGAAATAGAGAAGCTGAGTTTGTCGTGTTTGTCAGGGTGTGTTGCTAGGCATGGCAAAATGTTTACCATGGCAACCAAACCACATCCGAGAAGCATTTTCTTCCATATGTGTCTGAAAGATGTGAAACAAAGCCACCTCTAAACGTATGCCGTCTCTCTCTCCTTGTAAGATAACTTCCTCTTAATACAATACTGCATATAAGTGGTCTTGTTTCTTTTGTCTTGAAAAAAAAAATTAACCCCCATCAACAGATTTAGACCAAAAAAAAAAAGTTCAACTGAGACTCTTTCTTTTTTCCATTGCACAATTTGGCCAATTCTTGACTCGGGCTAGAACATCAAATGTTTTGCCCATAAAACATCAATTTAATTAAAAAAGAAAAAAGGAGAGAACATAAAAAAGCCACTCCGTGGGAAAAACATAGGCAGCTCTGGATCAAATCACACGAGCCGAACTGAAACGCCTCCCCTTATATGCCATTCCGTCAGGGGTCGACGGCCGTTTTTCGGGAACGTCGTACTCTTCACTTCAACCCCGCTTCATTTACATTTTGGACGATGAATGGATATACAAGTGCATTCAGAATGCGAGATTTGTGAGAATACTGCAAAAAACACACACGCACACAAACTAAATCTGGTTCTTCGTAGTACCAACATGCCACTGATGATATCTGCAGAGGTTGAAATTCAAAAGCTCTTTATACAGAAGATATCTGCCCGTTTCCACACGGTCACAGCGAAAACCCACCTCAGTGTTACTCGACTGTCCCCTAAAACCACAAGGCAGATCTTACCACATGGGATCCTTCTGATAATATCAGACAAGCAGGTTACAAAAACTAAATCCATGAACATCTAATTTTGATTTAACCACCCAGTAAAACTAACTAGATCTACATGAGGTCAAACAACAGCTATCATAGTTATACACAAGCAATAGGAAAAGATGATGAACTCTACAAATGTTAGTAAAAAGCTCTTTCTTTTTTTTTTGTCTCTTTTCTCTTTAAGGTTTCTTCTAGGCTAGACCAACAAAGTCCTACAGGAATCCACTTCCGCATCATACAACAAATGTACAAAAAAGATGCTCGTAAAGAGGGAGAGAGTGCGAGACAGAAAGAGGAAAAAGACAAACACTCTGTGCATACATTGTTGGTACAAAATAAAAGATTTGTGCTCCGTAAAGCAGGACAGTCACTTCCTGGTCGATTTGTGAAGGTCACCGTGGAAGGTCACACAGCGTAGAGCCACATTTTGTGGTGTGGGGATTCCACAACGAGGCAACAAAAGCCAGAAACGACATCGAGCTAGTGTAAAAGTTGAGCTTCGGTGTGCTAGCCTCTACACCTACATCCTCTTTTAAAAAAAAAAATGCTCAAGGAACTTAAAGGGAGTCGTATTGATATTTTCCGCTGGCACTGTATCGTGGGCTTGATCGGTGAGCAGCGTTTTGTAAAATCCTGATGCTTGCTTTAACATACAGCGTGGAAACTTGCCCCTCAAGGTGAGACCAAAATAAAAAGAAGAGGAATTCTTCTAAAGTGTTTTTACCTTAAAACAGCTGTTTAAAGAGTAAACAAACAAATGAAAAGTAAAAAAATGGGACAACCAGGAAAGCATTGATAATTCAAAATGACTTGCACTGGGATGATCGAATGGGATCGATCAAACTGCTGAGGTGGAGGGAAGTAATGAGGCAAAACGTGTCCGATCCATCTGCAACAACTCCACAAGCCGAGGGAATTCATGTATCAAAGCATCACGAACACAACTCTCAGTATGTTAGTAACATCACAAGGGGACATGGAAGGTCACACAGCGTAGAGCCACGTTTTGTGGTGTGGGGATTCCACAACGAGGCAACAAAAGCCAGAAACGACATCGAGCTAGTGTAAAAGTTGAGCTTCGGTGTGCTAGCCTCTACACCTACATCCTCTTTTAAAAAAAAAATGCTCAAGGAACTTAAAGGGAGTCGTATTGATATTTTCCGCTGGCACTGTATCGTGGGCTTGATCGGTGAGCAGCGTTTTGTAAAATCCTGATGCTTGCTTTAACATACAGCGTGGAAACTTGCCCCTCAAGGTGAGACCAAAATAAAAAGAAGATGAATTCTTCTAAAGTGTTTTTACCTTAAAACAGCTGTTTAAAGAGTAAACAAACAAATGAAAAGTAAAAAAATGGGACAACCAGGAAAGCATTGATAATTCAAAATGACTTGCACTGGGATGATCGAATGGGATCGATCAAACTGCTGAGGTGGAGGGAAGTAATGAGGCAAAACGTGTCCGATCCATCTGCAACAACTCCACAAGCCAAGGGAATTCATGTATCAAAGCATCACGAACACAACTCTCAGTATGTTAGTAACATCACAAGGGGACAAAAAAAAAAAAAAAGGGCACCCCCGTTTAAATACGGCCTCTCTCTGGACAGTCTGCGTCGGAAAAAGGTGGATTAGGGAGGCGATGACATGCATTCCAGCTACGCAGCTACCAACGTGGAATCAAGGGGGGAAACTCTACAAGCCTTTCTTTTGTTGGGGTGACGGAGAGAGCAAGTGAGAGAGTGAAAGAGAGAAAAAAAGGGGGAAAAAAAACAACCACCAAGAAGTAGAGATTGAACACCTACAGAGGGTGCCATATTCATCATCAACGCTAGATATCCATAAAAATCCTGGTTTAGTAATAATAATGATTAAAAAAAAAAAATCACCTTGTTTAAATATGAATCTTTTATAGTCTGCTTCGCATGGTTAGGAAATAATATAGTCTCTGTGGTAAAGGGGAGAAACCGTCACCCTTAACTACAACTCCATGTCCTGAGCTTCGTCCTCTGAAAAGTCAGACATGGAGCTTTCTGAAGAAGAGTCGCCCGCTCCTTCCTCCTGCTCCTTCAGAGCCTCCTCTGTTGCATATTTCTGGATGTATTCTGAATAGAAACAGGGACAGAAAGAGATGGATGGGAAAAATATGGTCAGACATAAAAAGCTAATATTTCACTACAAGAAATAGCCAGCAAACTTGATTCATTATGGTTAATTGTAGGCTAAAACATAGTAAAATCTTAAAAGTTTCTAAAATAGTAAAAAAAAAAAAAGAAAGAAATTATCACCAAGAGTGCCTTTATATTCAATCAAAAAAAAAAAAACAATGCAAACCAATTGTTGAATCAGAATGAGTCACAAGACAAGAAAGGGTCATGAAACTAACATTCATGCTTTTGGAAACAGTTGCCTAATAAAAAGCATTGAAATGATCCAGATATCCACCTTGTTGCTTAGACAACCATGAAACTATGAAATACATACTGGTAAACACTATTATTTGGCTTTTGACAGAAAGAGATGGATGGGAAAAATATGGTCAGACATAAAAAGCTAATATTTCACTACAAGAAATAGCCAGCAAACTTGATTCATTATGGTTAATTGTAGGCTAAAACATAGTAAAATCTTAAAAGTTTCTAAAATAGTAAAAAAAAAAAAAAAAAAGAAATTATCACCAAGAGTGCCTTTATATTCAATCAAAAAAAAAAAAACAATGCAAACCAATTGTTGAATCAGAATGAGTCACAAGACAAGAAAGGGTCATGAAACTAACATTCATGCTTTTGGAAACAGTTGCCTAATAAAAAGCATTGAAATGATCCAGATATCCACCTTGTTGCTTAGACAACCATGAAACTATGAAATACATACTGGTAAACACTATTATTTGGCTTTTTTTATTCAAAAAGACTTGGCAGAAACAGATTTTAAAAGTAATGTTAAAAGTTATGTTTATCAGTACTGATAAAACGGTTACTTTATACATTTCATTGGAATGGAAGCTCAGGCAGAGCAGGATAAAGCATTACTGTGCTCTGTTTATATACTGAACGTTTCAGCAAACAATGTAGATCATTTACGTGGATAGAACATTCGTATACTGTGCACAGTATACATCCTGCAAAAATAGCATACTATTCCAAACATACCCCTAACCACATTTTTTTTTGAGCAGAAGACATTGTACAATGGTGATGTGAAACATGGTGACAGATATAAACCTCGAGGCTAGATGGAGGTTAAACCAAGAAAACACGAAGTCAAACGACGTCAGCTCTTCAAATCACCTTTGATTTTCTGTTTGTAGTCCTCTGGTCGGTGTAGGTACATGGCTGCGGCGTCCCCGTTCAGAGGGTCGATGGGGTTCGGGTAGGCCAGCAACTGTGGCAAAAACGACTCGAAGATATTGGTGAGATCTGTGAGGAGAGAGAAAGAGAGGAAGTAGAGCCTTTAATACAGGAGCAAAGCAAAAGTCTTATGAGCCCTTCTTGCAGCACACAATGGAGGATTTATGTTGAGTGACATGATTATGGCCTAATCTCCCATTCGGTGTGGGGGCTGTAGACATGCATGTAGATCTCTCTCGGTCCTTCTCTTTTTCTCTCGTAGCCAGTATTGTGTGTTCTAGCTGTCACTCTATTATACAAACACAACCTGGACAGCTGAGTACATCTAAACCAAATACAAGAATGTATAGTCAGCCTGTCATTACGACTAAATGGATCCCTGGTGATCAGGAGGCACTTATTACAAGGTAATAAAATAAAATTAAATTAAAATTAAAAAATAAATAAATAAAACAAAAACAGAATAAAAAAAAAATGGGTTTATTATGTGGGAAAAAAGACCAGAGAGTGATACTTCAGGAACAAAAATGACATTAATAAATAAATAAATAAATAAATTATAATTATATACATACACACATACATACACACATACAGTGGGTACGGAAAGTATTCAGACCCCCTTAAATTTTTCACTCTTTGTGATATTGCAGCCATTTGCTAAAATCATTTCAGTTTTTTTTTTTTCCTCATTAATGTACACACAGCACCCCATATTGACAGAAAAACACAGAATTGTTGACATTTTTGCAGATTTATTAAAAAAGAAAAACTGAAATATCACAT